CCCCCTAATCATATGCCCCTCCCCCCTCTCCTCCCCCCCAGGGTACCTTCTTTTTTGCTGCTGGAAATATGGTAACGCTAGTTACATAGTCACCACGTACACGGGCTGTGTCACTGTGTGGCCAGCAGGTGCGGTTTCCCTGATGTGCGTATAGCTGATAATGTACCGGGTATGGGTACACCTGTACATTGTATATGCAGCATACATTAGATATATCATATATGTATATGTGTATACAGACATATCTATATAGATATGTATTGATATGGATATATTCACGTGTGTGTGTGTGTGTGTATATACACACACACATACATGTACACACACATATACATGTACACACACACACATAGTTATGTGGGTGTAATCTCATAGGGACTTTGCAGCTAGCAGATTTCCTGGGCTGTGAGGTCATCATTTAAAAAAAATTCGCCTTGATCTCATGAAGACTAGGTTGTACTAGGAGTAGATAGATGAATGGCTACCTTGTGAAACATGATACTGATATTAATGGCAATATTAAATGCATTGCACTTTTTAAAAATATTATCCTCAATAGAGACTCTGCTTTCCAGGATGAGTAAAGCCATCACGTCTGTATACCTGTACTGGGCATCCTAGTTTACTCTGTCAGTTTTATGTAATTTTCTTTCCATTTCTTAACTTTTTTAAATTAATTACCTGAACCTGCAAACACTTAAGAGGGTAGGGGCCAACCTTTTAAGCAGGTGTGCCAGAAATGAGCTCCGTACTCTTGTGAGTGCCACTGGGTTCTCCTTTCTCTGTTTGATCTGCTGTTCGGCGTTCTTCCTGTCCTATCTGCTGTGTTGCCTGCGATGTGCCATGTGCCCCATACAGAGGATGCCTTTACCACTTGGGGCATTTGTACTGCAGGTTGGCCATGACTGCTTTAGCACATACTTCAACTGAAAGCTCTGTGTCCAGCCACCAGGGGTACACTTATTAAAAAAGGTTGAAAACCCCTGGGCTAGGGCCATGGGTGACTGGTGCCTCCTGAGACTGAGGGGCACAGTTTGTGGATTGGCAGCATTGGCGGTAGCAGCGGGGTGGCAAGTGGCAACTGTCTGCAGAAGTCAGCAGCAGCGTCACTGGTGGCAGGGTGGCGAGTGGAGGCCACCCACAGAAGCTAGCGCTGTTGGTGATGGCGGTGGTGGACAGTCTTGGGGGGGCATGTGCCCCCCTATGGCTAGGGCAATTATACCTGGGGCAATAGCCCAGCTACAGCTTGATGGACAGCTTAGGGTGCTTAATGAGTGGGCCAGCTGGGGTGCTCATTGGCCTAATTAAAGGTTAATTACTGCTTGAGAACTAGTGACCAGAAACTGATGCACATACCCCACCTCCAGACCATACAGCATAGTAAGGACAGCTCTAAGCTGCCCCCTGAAGCACCTGAGGACCAGCCCAAATGAACCTTACACCAGGCTAGCTAAAGCTCTAGTGGGCTGCATGTGCTTTGTATAATAAATAATCTGAACACTGACTTTTCTACATATCATTTTCTCCATCTATAATATGGGTCAAATATGGGTCAAACTTTGAAATGATTAGATGCTACAGAGAATGACAGCATTGTTGATGAGACTTACAGGCAAGGTTGAAGCTATGCATGCAACTCATATATACATGTCTTCTGCATGCTTTTGTTCTTATGTGGGCATATTTTCAGCTTGCCTGACCTCTTTAAATATGGCAAAGATAAATTATGAAACAAAGTAAAGCAGCTCAGATGTTAAATCAAAATTTGCTATTAAAAAATTAAGTTTGTAAAAAAAAAAGAAAAAGTATTTTCATAAAAAGGTTGGACCCCGATAATGTGAAATGTTGGATGTCAGTGGAAGTTAAGTTTGTATTGAAAGAATGGATTGCTATTAAAATTGAGATACTTAATTAAAATATCACAATATTTATCAATATTTAATGGATATGTTTTTCAAGCACAGGTAGTCATTGGAAACACAAATGCTGGGATTAAGCACTCATTGTTGCTTACAAAATCCCCAGGATTTTTAGAACTAAAGTTAGATGATCACCTCCTCCAGCTCCTTGTTTGTGATGGGGCTATGTCCTGGCAACTGCAGAAAGAAACTATAAGGTAGGCAACCATCAATCCTTTGGTTTATGGTGTACATGTAAGAGGTCTAGTCAGATGTTTGGTGCCATTTGTCACTGAAATTCTTAACTCCTTTTCTAATTGTTAGTTCAGTCTGAAGGTCAAAATTCCTGCTGATTGTAGAGCCCAAGTAGCAAAAATTGTCAACAATAGTAAGAGATTTTTCCTTGATGTCAGGTATTAGTTCATTCACCCCTTAGCATGTGATCAGTCTTCTTGAGACTAGTTACCATCCTGAAGCTCTTGCATGATTTATAAAATTTGCCCAGGAGATTTTGCAGGGAAGATTCACTGTGGGCAACCAAGGCTGCATCTGCAGACACGAAATCTCTTAGAATCGGCTCTTTCACCTTGGTTTTCACTCTAAACCTTGCAATGTTGAACAAGCCTCCATCTGGTCTGGTTCAAAGACTACAGAGTCTTTGTAGGCCCCTGCTCCCTTTTCCTTGGGCAGGCGCCTGACCTCAGTCCAGATTCTGACTGGCCGGGGAATGTCCACAGGAAGCAAAAGGAAGAAAAAAAACGAGAAAAAAAAATGCCGCAGGGCGTGGTTCAGGTGGATCTGTGGCCTCCGCTGCTCCCAAGGGCTATCCCTGGATTCCCCTCCAGTGCCCGACCTCTTCCACCCTCCGCTTCACTCCTGCGGTGAGGGTGCCGCTGCCTCTTCAGCCTCAGCCCAATGGCTTACCCACGCTTCTGGTTCTTCAGCTGCTCGCCCTGCTCCTTTGACCCTCCTCTGGGTCCGTCCCGGCCTCCGGATATAGCCCGCGCTGCAGATTGGCCCCAATTCACTTCACCTGACGTGGAGGTAAAGCTGAGCCAGTG